CATTAAATTTAAATGTTGATTTTCAACGAAAATCCTACTGTGAAAACTTCAAGAACTGAACTACCCTGTCTTAAAATTTTTTAGATTGACTCAAGTTGAACTGTGAGCAAAAAACAACGGGGCAGCTCAAACCTATTTTGTAAACGAAGCGTTATACACGATCAGATACTGTATTCTCTCTTCAATCTAGCAATGTCAGATCTAAAGCATGCCAGTTGAGTGTCCGCATGAAACCCATTCACCTCTTATACGTCCTTCAAAAGATTTATTTAATGTTTTTTCTACTTCTCCTCTTCCCTTCTCTTACTTTTAGTTCAATTAGGTGGGATACGTAACCGTGACTGTCGCCAAACGCCGTCCAGTATACTGAGGTTACCAATTATGGTGTTGCTCCAACGCGGCAACTTCAGTTAGTAGGGGATCGGGACGAAAATTGTTCCAGTTGTATGTCGAGCATCATTTTGAGTGTTGTGGCCTAGAACTGACTGATACGTTTGTCATACATGCCTGTGGCCAGATCGATTGGTCGATTGGCTGACTGTTGAATGCCGGCTTGATGGCATTCGGATGCAGTGTGACGTTTGAGCCTGTGCTGGTCTGCCTTTCTGTTTTCCTATGTGTTACCGTTTCGACTTGCTCCCTGGTCTATGAACCGGCTTCATATTTGCCGTTTACAATAAACGTGTTGCTTTATTTATTGTGTGCTCATCTACATAATTAAACGAAGACACAACAGGCGGGTTACTTGAAAGTGCGTGTGGCCTTATGTCCGTGTTGCTCACATCAAGCAACCCGATCGTAATTTCGTTTCAATCTGCGTTCCCTAAGTCTCTTTGGACTCACAAAGTTGACAATAAAACACGGAAAAATGGATCGACAACCGACGCATTAGTCAATCTAATCCACAACTCTTCCGTAGTACATTCCAGTAATAGACCCAGAAAAGCTCTCTCCAGGATGTTCCGGCAGGGTTTCGACCTTGGATTTTCACCCTATGATCTTGCGGATCAAAACATTGATCTACGGGTTCCGTTTCAGTAACGCGGACTCGGCTGAAACATACAGTACGTGAAACTTCCAAGTATTCAGCAAAGACAGCGTGCTTCATATGCCGAGCGGGATAGAAAAACTGTTTTTATCCGATTTTGATATGCATGTTTTCTGTCCCATAATTTGTTCAGACCAGCACTATTCAAGTTTTTGAAATATACATATTCATGTCTTCGCCTAGATGCGTTTGATCCAGTGGAAGTGTGAAAACCGACGACTTCCGGGTTGAGATCCACGTGACTCAAGCCAAATGTCGTGAACATTTGCGCTCTTAATTACTTTTATCAACAACAAGACAACTGTCTCATTTTTCGTATACTATTCTGTCCGTTGTATTTCTATCGATTTGGCTGCGGACAGCCATAGCCACGTCGGTCTCAGATTAGTGGTCGTGAGAATTCAAACCGCTTGCTTCTGTTAGATACTGGCTATTGTGTCCCAGGTTAAGTAGGTAGATAAGCAGGTAGTGAATTAAGCAACATGTTTAGTGTAAACGGCAAATATAGAGCCGGTTCATAGATCGGGGATCAGGCAGAAGCGGACAACACGCAGGAAGGAAAGCAAACAAGCAGGCAGGCCAACAGAAACTCACATGTCACACAGTATATTCGAATGCCGTCAAGCCGGCATTAAAGCAGTCAGCCAATCAATCGATCAGGTAATCAATCTGGCTACAGGCATGCATGACAAACGTATCAGTAAGATGTAGGACACAACACTGGCCATCGAAATTCAGATTTTAAATTCACAATCCACTCACTGATAGTATCCTAAACGGAGCAAAGAGAACCCCTAAATCAAGCCCCATCTCAGACTGCGCAGGGGATGAGTGACACGATCATACGTTTCTTTCTGTCGAATTACCCTCCACCCACCCACACCACCATCGCCATCACCATGCTCAACGTCGAGAGTTTGTTGCCGTATTTTTGGTTTATCCGGATTCGTCTTTTTATCAAGGGAACAATTCAGGCGGATCAGATGATTTTCGTTTGTTCTATGCTGTTGTGTTGCTCGTATGTGGTTGGGTCATGTTCTGTGAGCGCGCGTGCGTATTCAGTCGTCAATCACTATGGTCAGGAACCTGGGGTGCTCGTGAAGTGGATTAATATTCTAATGATGATTGACGTGGTTTCCGTTCTGATCATCCTGATAGCCATCATTAGACGGCGTGCAAAACGTATGTGCCAACCCCAGTCCAAGCGTGTGTATGGCTTTATTCTTACGTAAGTGAGATAGGCAATGCATGAAAAACAGCACGAGGCAGCTGGAAATTGCTCGTGTGTGTGTGCTTCGAACATTTTGGTGTGTAAGTCCACACAAGCCTGATTCGTTTAACTCACGAGGTCCGGTTCAACCGGGAACGAGGCAACTATTGAGGGAAACGCCATCTGTCAGTGTTTCACAACATCTGTTATATTCATGGACTGAACATAGATACTGTCTTCCTCTTCTTCCCCTTAATTCCTGCTTCTTCTGCTCTTTCTCTCTGTCTCGTAAATGACACTTGCTTGTTCCCGCTGTGAACATGTGCCACCGGAAAACCGATCATCACATCCTGTCTATGGCCCAGACGATTTGTTGTCAACCAATCTCCAGAAGTGCTGGATATCCAGCTAAGGTGGACCAGGTTCTCCTCGCCAGTCGACCCGAAATCGACGAGTCCGAAATTCGGGTGAATTGTGCTAGGAATGGGATGAGATCAGATTTCGGGGCGATAAGGAGATTGGGTTAACTTATACTTTCATCCCCCCCCCCCCCCCCGGGGAATACGAGTTAGACATGTTCAACAGATCGCAATTTTTCCCCTATTGAATGGAACACACAATCATTCAAACTGAAAATGTGTGCAAAAATTAATGCCCTTCGAACCGTCATTCCCACTTTCGGTTTGCAGTTCTGTCGCTAGTGAACCGCGTAAAAAACATACGGGAGGACTGGTCGTGTGCAGCGCGCAGCCACTCTTTTCCCGTTCTGTTCACTACATTTATGTTTATTGTTTGAAACGTTCGAACCTCGCTGAACAAGTCTTCAAAGAGACCTATTCACGGTTTGATTGAAAACAATACAGAATTATCATCATTCTTTTTCCAATCACTTTTAGACTGACCGTTATCTTCTGATATGCGAATGTATGATAAACGGGAGGTAAAGTGTATCGTACCTGGAAGCATGATATTGCCAACTGAATCTTGCAATTCGTACCAAACTTACCAGAAAACTGCAATCCGCTTGTCCAGCATTAGCCGACACGGTCCGGAGATGATGATCTTGCTCCACACCCTGATCAGCACGTTTTGGGGAGGGATTCAAAAATAAATTAAACATGAGTTTCAGGTCCAATGGAAAAGTCAAATCGGGAAAAAATAATTCAATCAATGTGTGCGTATCATCCTGGCCTTTTGATTTCACACATTTTTGCGGATTGTATGTTGGAATTACTGTTGTCTGTGAAATGCAAATTACTTGATTTGACTAAATTGTTCCAAGGAATGATGTAAT